AAAAAAAAAAAACTTAAAATCAATGAGCAAAATATATGATCCGTAGTTTAGAATCTAAATTTCCACATTCATCACTTTCAGACAACATATCGTGAAATTTAAACCTCCATTCAAAGACCCCAAAAAAGCACGATCATTCAAACACGTAAATTGACCCAACTATTACCAAATTCAACTAACATTTAAAAGATTTAAAAATAACTCTTTTACCCTAGCAAATCCTTAATCTTTCCAGCAAATTCCTCAATCCTTTACCTCTCTTGCGCAAGTTCCACCAGCATTGCCTTTGGCGCCACCACATGCTGACTCTTCACTTTGACCAATAAGCCAATAGTAAAAGCAAATGATGCTGACAAGATCACCCCTACTTGATCAGTCACCGCTTCTTCTACGCCTCTCCCAACATCAATTCAATTTATGTCACCAGATTGGAAAGGTTCAAACTCACCCAGTAAAGTAGATGCTAAGAATATTTTTTAGGTGTTTTTGAGGCATTAAATTACTAGTTTATTTGCAAGAACGGGGGCCTGGGCCGTGGTTGTTGGTTTGGTTGGAGATGCTTGAAGTGAATGACAAAACGAGTGCAAAGTAGATGAGCAGAGAAAGGGCGAGAGATATCTGTGATGGAGAGGAGCAGAGGTGGAGGCTGGTATTTTGTAGCATTGGTCCGTGGTTTGTATTAGAGGCGGTGGTTGTGGTTCATTGGGCAGAGGTGGTGGTTGGACTGAACTAGTGACTGGGTAGAGCCCGTGTTTGGGCTGACAATATAGAGAGATGAGGGGTGTTGCTGGCGTCGGCGTCATTGTCGGTAGTAGCATCGCAGGCATCTGGTGGGGTGGAAAGAGAAGAGAGATGAAAGAGGGAGATTGTGTATTGCAAGTGTGAAAAAAAAAGAGGTGAAAGAGGGAGATTGTGTATTCTTTTCAAGTTCTTCATGGTATCGAAAAGAATAAATCAAAAGCTAGAAATCTAATAATGCTTTAATTCTTATTTATTTAAGCAATCACTAAATGAAAAAAGAATAAAACAATGCACTTATATGTTTTATCACTACCAACGGCTTTTGGTCCAATGGTATTCTTTACCTTGTGAAGGTTTTGCTTTCTTGAGATCAAGGGTTCAAATCCCCCCTCCACTCTCCCTTCCCCTTCCCCCTAAAAAAAAAAAAATTAAAAAATTAAATGTTTTATCACTACACCTAAAAGTCTAGTAATCGATTTTTAATTTTTTACAGTTCCCAAGGAAAG